AGCCACCACATTCAGGTACCAAATAATCTAGCAGTCTGTATGTACCAAAGAGTTGGGATCCTGGATCTCAAGACCACACATATTAAGCACCCCTCCATTTTCACTCAGACTGCAAGTTACTTTTCTAACAATTATTATGTCCTGCTTTGCTTTAGCCTCTCCTTGCCTCACATTAGCGTTAACCTGGATGGTTTGCCCTGGGCGAGCAGGGCATAGGAAGATGTGCAGTGAGGCCCCCTCAGAGCTCCTCCAGCACTTGGGTTGACAAACATTGTTATGTAACATTGACTTAGAGCAGTTTCTGATTCCTTAAAGCAGAAATTCAAAAAAGATTGTGAGATGAAATCCAAATATGTATTTTATTAATTTTTGGATCTTTTGAACATTGAATGCAGTTAAATCCATTGCCCACAGAAGAAGAATCAGGTAAAAAGTGGATAAGAAATATATAAGCATATCCCAGAAAAATGAAACTTGAAGATGTACATACACACATCTGGCAGTGATTCATAATTGAATATTATTTTCTCTGTCACTATAAGGGTTTACATCCGTCTCAGTCCCCAAACTAAAAGTAGCTGAGTGGTATTACTGGCACCACCACTTCATCCCATCTCCACATGTGCAGAACAAAAGGTTTTAACTACACTTCACTCTGGTAGCATTACACAGGGAATTTCAATGAAGGCTTTGAAAGAAAATAATTACCCACGGAGCCTTAGGCTGGAAGGAAAATCTTTCTCTCTCTCTTTTGTGACGTGTTTCTAATGGCTACATATGAGGAGCAAACTGGAGGATGAGAGCATTTTCTTATATGACTCCCTTAGTATCTGTCAGAAATAGTATCAATTTGCAAAACAAGGAGGAGATTGAAATTTTCCATGATGAAAGATGTTAAATACAAACTTCCAGTCTTGGGAAATTCACCCAGGAGTCTATGAATAGACACAGTATGTTTTAGATATTTTCTGACTCTCACAAACTCAAAAGGTATGGTAAATCTGATATGGGCGTTTGCCAGGTTATACCCAGAGTTACACACCCAGTCCTGGTTACTGAAGAAGAGCACCCAGATCCGCTGGACACCCACAATGCCCCGTGACTGAGGCACAAGCCCAAAGAAAGCAAGTGACAAACACACACGTGCCTACGAATTAGAGGAGTGCAGGGCTTCTTTCAAATACCGAGCTAAAGAAAGCCCTTGTGGCTGTGATGCCCAACCTTAGGGCATAAAACTAAGGTGGATGACGGTTTAAAAATTCTTATTCACACGTTCACCCCAAAGAAATTGTGATGCACTAGGTTTGGGGTAGAATGCTTCAATCTACGTATTTAGAAAATAGCCCTGGTGACTCTGGTGCAGATATTGTAAGGGCCACATTTCAGCTAAGATTCAGAGACAGCTGGCACCATCGTTTGATTGGTTTTAATTGACTACTTCAATCTTTTCATTGGCAGAATGAAGAGGAGGAATTGAAAAAAAGAAGAATAAGTTTACACAAGACAAGAACTGTATGTCAGTCTCTTCTTTGGCAGTCACACTGCTATTCTCGGATTTTAATTCCAGAGCCAAAGCGAAAGGCCTGGGTCCAAGCCCCAGGAAAAGCTGATATGTGGGAAGAATTGTGTCTGGCTTCATCAGCACCAGTTCCGCCATGTCTGTGTCTTTTGGGTGGAGGGGGGGCTAGAGGGGTTCTGCTTATCCAAGCATGCCTGAGGCACACTGCTCAGCCCGCCTCCCAGCACCACACCGCCATTCTCACCCCCACCCTCAGTGGCACCCTGAACTACAAAAGAGATTTCTAACCAGCCTTCCTCATCAAAGTTTATTCTGTGCTTTGTTTTCTCAGGTCCTTGTGGCAAGGTCATAAACTGACCTTCCTAGGGCTAACACAGTGCATGGCGATGGTTCACATGTATTCCTTCTTTCTTAAAACATTTACTCCAGCTACATAAGCAGCTATTGCTGGGAGCCGCAGGCCCCCTGGAAGATGGATGAAGTATGCATTTAGACCCAGGAGACATCTAGGGATTCTGGAAACCATACCACCAAGGGGTTATTCATGCCAACCAACCACCCCCTCACACACTCACTACCTTCTGCCCTTACCCTCCGTCTTTCTTCCTGCCCCAAAGCCACCAGGGCCCAGGCACTGCATTCGCTGCCCTCCTTCCCCAGTGCTCTTTCAGGCTTCATAAGCCTAAGGAAAGGCACGTGTATGTAAAGAATAGATCCTTTACTACAGATTTAATAAAATGGGGAGCGTGGACGCTTGGGAATGCTGCAGTATATAAGTCAAGGTGTTAGGAAGTGTAAAACAGGCGTATTAAATATGAAAGTTGATTTGAAAAACACACTACAGTCTAAAAGAGTCTGTCTTTCCTTACTTTTCTACCCTCACAAGGCCAGAAATCGCTTCAAAACCAAGAAGAAAAGGCACCTTTAGAAGCAAAGAAAATAAAAACTCAATTCTAGTTTCACTTTTTATTTTATTATTGAAGCATTTTAGTTTTTTAATGCAACAATTGTTCTTGTTAAATATAGATTCTTACTGGACTTATCCATTAGTCAATTTCTAAATGTGGTCATAAAAACAAAAGGCTCCAAATAGGAAAAAATACTAAAAAGCTTTCTATACTCAGTAGAGAGAGTGGTCTTTATTATTTAGGACAGAAAGGAAGCGTGACCAAAACGACCTTCTGTTGATGAACCAATAGAAAGTGAGTGAGGAGTTTTGTATGATGAACACTCTGGAAGACATCATTTCAGAGCGCTTAGCTAATCTGCAGGAACCTAGTAATCTTTCCTTCTCAAAAAACAAGCAAAAAACCCCAAAGAAACAAACAAAACTACTGGAAATCTCTCAGGGCTGTTAGCGTCTGGACTCTGTCCTGCCCCCGTTTCTGTGACTCCTGTAGAATTAAACATGTCTCTGTTGTTCTCTTGAAAATAATACAAAAGTTAAAAGAAAGCTCACTAATTAGATTGTATCTTCTTAACTGGATGGCTGATCATTAGAAACCACCACTGGGATACGATGTCTCAGCTTCCGAACGACCACTGGTGGACTGCAGACCCGTTCCTCACCACCTCACATGCTTCACGGCCGAAGTCCCGTCTGCACAGCCAGGCATGGCTAGTCATGCCTACGCTAACCTGCTGTGCCTAGCCCTGGAACGCTTTAACCGGACAGTTCACAAGTGTTTACCATGTTTTTGATGCAAAAACGCCACAGTATGTTAAATATAAATAAAATTCTAGTAAGCTAATTTTTCAAACATAAAAAAGGAATTTTTTAATACATAAAAATTTATAACTCCCTGCTATGGATCTGTGTCTCCCTAAAATTCATATATTGAAGTCCTCACCCGCAATGTGACTGTATTTGGAAACTGAATATATAGGGAAGAAACTAAGGTTAAATAAGGTCATAAGGCTGAAGTCCTACACTTACAGGATTATAGGATTCTTTAAAAGAGACACCAGAGAGCACTCTCTCTTTCTACTATGTGAGGATACAGCAAAAAGGTAGCTGTCTACAAGCCAGAAAAAAGCTCTACCAGAAGCTGAATCAGCTGCCACCTTGATCTTTTGTTAGAGCAGGCAGATAGCTGGATATGTGTAGAGAAAGAGGACACAGGCCAAATGGCAGGACCTGGGCAGAAAGGAAGGACAAAGGTCAAATACAGGAAACTGCACATCACGTAAGCACCAGGGGTCCCTGGGCAGAGAGAGATAAGCAGGAACCTCTGGGCTGATAAGCGGTCACACGTTTTGGGGCGACAAGAAGCCTGGAGGCGGATAAAGAAAGGTGAGAAAAGGCAGGAATTTCCAGTGTCTGAATGTAACCTATTGCTTATTATGCCCTCATTTCAATAAAATTAGCCTTGCAGATCATAAGTACCCATCATGCACCAATGCCATGACACTTTAGATCCAGACTAAATAAGGACAGAAATCCCTCCTCCCCTTGGGAAGGTGGAGTTGGGATGATAATCAGTGAATACGACCCCAAAGCCCTCCCTCCCCAGTGACTATTCCGCCTATTCATTTTTACATCCTGTATAACTAACTTGCCAAAGAAACACAGGGCAGCCGCTCACCTGAGCCTGCCGGCTCTCCCCCTGAGAGTGTCCTATCCGTCCTTTAATAGATCTTCACTTTACTTTCTTAGCCTCCGCCTCTAGTCTCTGAACTCCTCCTGGGACGGGACGAGAACCTGGACACTGGCCACGTCTACCAGCAGCACTTCGCCTTCTCAACCCACAGAGCTCTGGCAAGTAGGTGTCCATTGTTCCCGCTCGCCAGGCTGGTGCTCTGCTCTGAGCTCACTAGGACGTTTCCACTAGTCGCCACTCCTGCCACTCCACCTCGGGACACGACACCCACTTTCTGCTACTTTCTAGCCTCTTTCCTTAACTTATTCTTATTCTTAGCACATGTTGTCATTTAACTTATAATAAATGTATTTAAAATGTATCCCCTTTATTTTGCCTCCCCTTGTTGGACTGTAAGCTCCACGAGGGCGGGGACTTTTTTCCTGCTTTATTCACTGTTCTACCTCCAGCACGTCGTAGAAGAGTGCCTTATCTTCTTGTCCTCAGAGAGTAAACTTCAAAGTGATGGAGAATATTGAACCCCGCCTAGAAACTCAGGAAAGACAACACTATATAAATGAATAACCCAAACAAATTAAATTAAAAATAAATTACGTATTAATTAAAATTAGAACAAAAAGGATTTAAACCTGGTGAAAAAGGATTCTGTATACGTAATCTTGCAGCAAAATGTGCCTTATCAGCCTTCCATAAATTGAGGTACAGCACCTCACTATTTTAGGTTGAGCTTTGGTAAGAACAAAGTACAAAGTGTATTAGGTACTTCCCTGAACTTTCAACACATAATACTCTATGGTCAGTCTAAGAAAGCAATATGCATTATTTGCTTTACAGGAGAGTAAATAGTTTGAAATAATGGACACAAATCTGCGTAAGCATAATAGTTATCATATTTCAGTTTATTTCCATGTAAATTGGTTGTTATATGCTAAGTCAGTACAAAGGATTATTTAAAAGATAATTAAATACATTGAAAATATAAAAATATAAGTGTGGCATATTAGACTATCTGATTTTTATCTAAAATACTTTGGATTGTGCAAGCCTCATTTAATACCCTATTTAAAATCTGACAACAAAATCACTGCCGAAAAGCATACCCTATACTGAATTAGATCATCATCCCACAGAATGCAGAACACGCATTTCTAGGCTTTTGTATGTTCAACAACATACTAATATATTTCAGTAACTATTAAATGTCAAACATTATCCACAGAGGGTATTAACACATTAATGTTTTCATTAAAAAAGAGAGATCTCTTTCCTCATTACATTATGCGTTTATACAATAGAGATCTGTCAAATAAATTACTGCAAAGTAGTTCAAGCTAGATTTTATAACACTTGAATCATGTAATTGGGGGCAAATAACCTTTAAAATGAAAGACAAATGGTAAAACTCAAGGGCACTTAATTTGCATAAATGTAATGTTAACAATGTTTTCCAGGTTACATACTTTCCAGTTAATTTATGTACATCTCTCTATTAAGTATGTAACATTCTTATAGGTCAGTTTTAATTTTTCCCAATTTTCCTTTACCATAGTAAAGGATATGGAAGGAGTTTGTCATATACAAAAGTAAGGCAATCTTCATAAAAACAATTCAGCATGACTAGAAACATTCTAGCTCAGGACCATATTGCAGTTCTGGTTTTGTTAATGTCTGTTTTGAAATAAACATTTATGTCTTAGAATCTCGTGTGTCTGAAACTCGTGTTTAGCTATTGGGCTCTCAGGACTTAACTCCAGGGAGTTTCTCCAGGTCAACAGTTACCGTGACCTTAGTATGGAGGGGGAGCCTTAGAACAAAGGGTTATTTATGGTACATGCTTTGGTCTTCCTTTACTTTGAAAATAATAGTAACATTTGACACCAGACTTACTGGGTTTTAAGTTTTATCCATTAAATGTCTACTACAAACACTAAATGCTTTCAAATACATCTTCTCAGACAATTGTGTCTCAACTTGGATAATAAAACAGAAGAAATCATTTATTGATTAACTGTAACGATATTCATGCCAACTATAGTCCATAATCGCTAACAAATTAGAAAATGCCTACAGTGCGTGAATTTAATAATAGGCCACAGTTGCCCAGAAATATATCAATTTATACACAGCAAAACATATGTTCTTTCTTAACTTTGACTCTTGTTTATGTGCCAATGACCAATGGATTAGAGATGGTGAATGTTGCCACCATCCACCCTCGGAATAATTTAATCAGACAGAGGAGGTAATCTAATTTTTATCTCCACCTTTTGTTGGAACAGTATCTGATGGGAATGAAAGTTGGCCTCAGTTATTTCAATCCAAATTAGTGATGAAGGGATTGAGGCTTTCTGTGGGACAAACGCTATTCTTTGTAGTTCATGTCAATCAAAATTGAAATGTCTAAATAAGTTATAAGAATTGGAAACATTTGTTTCTCTCCTTTCATGTTATTACATTGTCTACCTAGAGCTTAATGGTAAAAATAAGGGCCATACAAATGTTTACCACACATTTACTAGGGACCATTACACGACTTGGCAGACATTAGCATTTACTCTTACCGATGTCCACAAAAACACCTAAATTACCAGTCTTCTATTTTGTTTTCAAACTACTTTCAAATTCACTTTAAAGTTCTTGGCTTTTTGTTAACTAGTAATTTCTGGAAGAGTTAAAGTGCCTTAAAACTAAAGCATGTGCCTACACCTGTTTTTGAAAGTGAGATTTTTTTCATAGGTAAATCAAATTGCTAACTAAAGAAATGAAACTGTGTAATAGAATGTGATTGAAAATATATGTAGAAACATGAAAACAATCATTTATACAGGTCAGTCTGGCCTGTGGTGTTTGTCAATTATCCTGCTGGTTTTGTGGGTTTGCAAATAATCACTTGTCCAAGCTCTCCTTTAACAAAAGAAAAAAACTCGTACTCTGGAGATCTGTCTATATATAGAGAGAGAAATGTATTGTATTGTATTGTATTGACTCTGTCTCAGAAATAGAAGAGTCCCAACCTACTACAGCTAATTCCATGTTGGAATAGCACAAAACTATTCTACTGGTGGTATTTTTTCATCTAAAGATCATATCTGTGAAAAAATATAAAATGTGCAACTTCCACATTCTCTCGTTCCAGCAAAACTTCAGCTGAAAACAGAGACTCTTGTGGGGCGGGATGTGGAAATTAGGGCTATGAGGTCTGAAGAGTCTAAGCATTTCCAACATTCACAGCAAAACAGACTAACGTCGAGAACTTGGTTTCACAGGATACTGGTTATTTTCAACGCATTTCTGAAGACTTCCGTGCACGGAAAGGTACGGAGAAGAATGGTTTCTCGTTTGTCATTTGCTTTTTGTTTGACTTATCTGTGAATTTCGTATCGATTGCATGAAGTAACATTTACCCTTATTGATATTCAATGACTTCTCTTTCTTTGGTAAGGGAAAATGGCCCACCTGCTAAGTTGTTTTCACATATTAGTTAAGGATGATCCTGGATTTTTACAAATGGCTTGCAAATGTTCTAAATCTCTCATTATATGACAAAGTATTTCTCAGATTTACAAATTAACTTATAACAGAACAGAATTAAAACAACACAAAATACTGTGCTATAAAAAGCAAATAAATTCATGTTTACCTTTCAGGACACTAAAGCTAAATGTATACTGATTTTTATAAAATAACTAAAATAACCTGCACAGTGAATTTGCTTACTAACAAAGACGATAAAATTGTCGGCAAACCTTGACCAGTGGTTATGTGATTGCTACGTCACAGCACACTTGTCGAAGTAGAGGTCAATTTGTAGGATCTAAACAACAAAAAGGTTGTGCAAAATGCTTGAGTATGGCCTCTTCGGGGCAGTTGCTAAAAAAAAAGCTGTATTGCAGCGAAAGAGTCTCACATTTCACTGTGGTCGCTGAGTTTGCTCAGACTCTGAAATAGAAGGGGGAGAAATTAACACCTGGCTACTGACTTGACTCTGAAGTTGATAACACAGTCAAAGAATAGCAGTAACTGAAGCAAGCTGTCCAGCTAAACTAAGAAAACAGACATTCTCTGAGGCATCAGAGCACAGAAGCTTAAAGCTCCGAGTCCACGGTCAGACTGCGGACTTTGAAACTGGCTCCATCACTTACAAATGGTGGAACTTCCCGGGGCATCAGTTTCCTCATTTCTGAAAGTAGATTAAATAATAGTGGCTAGTAGATAATCGTATCGTAGGACTGTGGCAAATCCAGTGAATTGATATAAGTAAAGCTCTTAGCATATTTCTGGAACATAATGAGCACTCAA